AGACAACGCACCATCAGAGTAATGACGGCTCGGGGTGAGCATTTACATTATGAGACCTCCTTTGCCAGTAGCAAAATATAATGGATGGAGTCACCCCACACTTCACCACCCCACAGCACGCGACCTGCAGGATCGACCATGAGCGCGTTAGGGGCCGTCCATAAATGACGTCACGCGATTTTGGACGATTTTTGACCTCCCCCCCCCCCTTCGTCACACGACGTCACAAAAAGTCAGACCCCCCCCCCCTCAAATATGACGTCACAAAGCTCTGCCCCCCCCCCCCCAAATAAAACATGCTTCAAATCGCTTTAAACTATTGTCATTGTAGTGTGTATTTAATGTGGCGCTGCACTCTGATGTTGTAGGAGAAAACATTTATTAAAAATGATATTTAATTAAGTAGAACGTGTTGTCTATAATTATTTAAAGTTGCGCATTTTGATGTGACGTCACATTTCTCAACCCCCCCCCCTCGTCACAAATGTCTGACCCCCACCCCCCCCCCTAGGTGCGTGACGTCATTTATGGACGGCCCCTTACCCAATTCACCCTCCTGGGCGCACAGAGGCGTGCGTTAGTTTGAATTGCCGCGCCGGGCCCGATGTGCTGAACAACGCGGAATCAGAATTATCATCGGTGGGCAGAATGAACGGTGGCGCAGCGATTAGCGACAGCACGCAACGAACAGCGTTCTGAGTTCGGTTTCTCGGCCACGGCTAACGTCAGCAGGCCAAGCGACATCTGAAGAGGTCCTACACCTGCCCTCCCCACCACCACCATCATCATTGTACCAACGTGGTGAAGTATGGTCAGACAAACTCCCCCCCCCCCAACCCCTCTTCCCCCATCACCGACGCAGCCTTCATCCGAACAGCGAATTAACAACATGACGAGCAGTGCGGTGTAATCATCATCGTCGTCGTCGTCAATATATGTACAGCATCTAATAGTCTTCTTGGTTCTTTCGGTAAAGTCACGTAGAAGGGAAATAATGAAATAAAAAAATAAAAGATAATACAATAATTCTCACGACGTTTCGGCCACAACGCAAGCAGCCGTCCTCAGGTGAAGAACAGGTCTGTCGGAAAGACAGCGTCTGAATTTCAGACGCTGATTTTCAGATGCTGAATTTCAGACGCTGTCTTCTCGACAGACCTGTTCTTCACCTGAGGACGGCTGCTTGCGTTGTGGCCGAAACGTCGTGAGAATTATTTTATAATGTTTATTTTTATTATTTTATTATTTCCCTTCTACGTGACTTTACCGAAAGAACCAAGAAGATGAATCCCTGCAGTCACGAAAGCTTTAAATCTAAATCATCTAATAGATCGATACATCTCCACGAGCCGTATCCGTGAGCGCTGTGGAGGCAGCTCTGATGTGCAATATATAAATAAAAAATAAAACATTTCACGTTATTGCGGTGACACCTCGTCTCGGAAGCCACGCGCAGTGCAAGACGGCTCTCCCAACCATAACAGAGGTTAGTTATTTATTTTGGGGTTAGATCACGTAAATATATAAATGTGTCGTGAAACCCACCACCACCCGACACAGCCAACTAGTAAGGGTTGTCACGTAAACGGAACGTGGCCAATTCGTCACTAGTACAGCACTAGTGTGTAGTGTAGTGTATTGTGTATAGTAGTGTAGTGTATTGTGTAAGTAGTGTAGTGTATAGTGTAGTATATTGTATAATGTAGTGTATAGTAGTGTAGTTTATAGTGTAGTGTATAGTAGTGTAGTGTATAGTGTAGTGTATAGTAGTGTAGTGTATAGTATGTAGTGTATAGTGTAGTGTATAGTAGTGTAGTGTATAGTAGTGTATAGTGTAGTGTATAGTGTAGTGTATAGTAGTGTAGTATATAGTGTAGTGTATAGTAGTGTAGTATATAGTGTAGTGTATAGTAGTGTAGTATATAGTGTAGTATACTAGTACAGCACACTGGTGTGTTGGAGAGCCAAGCCACACCATTTACAATCTGTGCACGACGTTTCGCCAGTAATTACAACCAGCTTCATCAGGCGGACAGCCAGATTTGTGGGGAAATCCGCCTGTTTCGTTCCTGAAATAGAGGCGTAGATGTGGTGACGTCACTTGCGAGCCCTTCGCATGTTAAGGTGGTGTAGTAACTACATTATTAGTGTCGTAGTAGCGACATTATTAGTGGTGTAGTAGCGACATTATCAGTGTCGTAGTAGCGACATTATTAGTGGCGTAGTAGCGACATTATCAGTGTCGTAGTAGCAACATTATCAGTGGTGTAGTAACTACATTATTAGTGGTGTAGTAGTGACATTATCAGTGTCGTAGTAGCGACATTATCAGTGTTGTAGTAACTACATTATTAGTGTCGTAGTAGCGACATTATTAGTGGTGTAGTAGCGACATTATCAGTGTCGTAGTAGCGACATAATTAGTGGCGTAGTAGCGACATTATCAGTGTCGTAGTAGCAACATTATCAGTGGTGTAGTAACTACATTATTAGTGGTGTAGTAGTGACATTATCAGTGTCGTAGTAGCGACATTATCAGTGGTGTAGTAGCAACATTATCAGTGTTGTAGTAGCTACATTATCAGTGTTGTAGTAGCGAAATTATCAGTGGTGTAGTAGCGACATTATTAGTGGCGTAGTAGCGACATTATCAGTGGTGTAGTAACTACATTATTAGTGGTGTAGTAGCGACATTATCAGTGCTGTAGTAACTACATTATCAGTGGTGTAGTAGCGACATTATTAGTGGCGTAGTAGCGACATTATTAGTGTCGTAGTAGCGACATTATCAGTGTCGTAGTAGCGACATTATCAGTGTCGTAGTAGCGACATTATCAGTGTCGTAGTAGCGACATTATTAGTGGCATAGTAGCGACATTATCAGTGTCGTAGTAGTAACATTATTAGTGGCGTAGTAGCGACATTACCAGTGTCGTAGTAGCGACATTATCAGTGTCGTAGTAGCAACATGATCAGTGTCGTAGTAGCGACATTATCAGTGTCGTAGTAGCGACATTATCAGTGTCGTAGTAGCGACATTATCAGTGGTGTAGTAGCGACATTATCAGTGTCGTAGTAGCGACATTATCAGTGTCGTAGTAGCGACATTATCAGTGTCGTAGTAGCGACATTATCAGTGTCGTAGTAGCGACATTATCAGTGGTGTAGTAGCAACATTATCAGTGTCGTAGTAGCGACATTATCAGTGGTGTAGTAGCGACATTAGCAGTGGTGTAGTAGCGACATTATCAGTGTCGTAGTAGCGACATTATCAGTGGTGTAGTAGCGGCATTATCAGTGTCGTAGTAGCGACATTATCAGTGGTGTAGTAGCGGCATTATCAGTGTCGTAGTAGCGACATTATCAGTGGTGTAGTAGCGACATTATCAGTGTCGTAGTAGCGACATTATCAGTGGTGTAGTAGCGACATTATCAGTGGTGTAGTAGCGGCATTATCAGTGTCGTAGTAGCGACATTATCAGTGGTGTAGTAGCGGCATTATCAGTGTCGTAGTAGCGACATTATCAGTGGTGTAGTAGCGACATTATCAGTGTCGTAGTAGCGACATTATCAGTGGTGTAGTAGCGACATTATCAGTGTTCTAGTAACGACATTATCAGTGTCGTAGTAGCGACATTATCAGTGGTGTAGTAGCGACATTATCAGTGTTGTAGTAGCTACATTATCAGTGTTGTAGTAGCGACATTATCAGTGGTGTAGTAGCGACATTATTAGTGGCGTAGTAGCGACATTATCAGTGGTGTAGTAACTACATTATTGGTGGTGTAGTAGCGACATTATCAGTGCTGTAGTAACTACATTATCAGTGGTGTAGTAGCGACATTATTAGTGGCGTAGTAGCGACATTATTAGTGTCGTAGTAGCGACATTATCAGTGTCGTAGTAGCGACATTATCAGTGTCGTAGTAGCGACATTATCAGTGTCGTAGTAGCGACATTATTAGTGGCATAGTAGCGACATTATCAGTGTCGTAGTAGTGACATTATTAGTGGCGTAGTAGCGACATTATCAGTGTCGTAGTAGCGACATTATCAGTGTCGTAGTAGCGACATGATCAGTGTCGTAGTAGCGACATTATCAGAGTCGTAGTAGCGACATTATCAGTGTCGTAGTAGCGACATTATCAGTGTCGTAGTAGCGACATTATCAGTGGTGAAGTAGCGACATTATCAGTGTCGTAGTAGTGACATTATTAGTGGCGTAGTAGCGACATTATCAGTGTCGTAGTAGCGACATTATCAGTGTCGTAGTAGCGACATTATCAGTGGTGTAGTAGCGACATTATCAGTGGTGTAGTAGCGACATTATCAGTGTCGTAGTAGCGACATTATCAGTGTCGTAGTAGCGACATTATCAGAGGTGTAGTAGCGGCATTATCAGTGTCGTAGTAGCGACATTATCAGTGGTGTAGTAGCGACATTATCAGTGTCGTAGTAGCGACATTATCAGTGGTGTAGTAGCGACATTATCAGTGGTGTAGTAGCGACATTATCAGTGTCGTAGTAGCGACATTATCAGTCGTAGTAGCGACATTATCAGTGGTGTAGTAGCGACATTATCAGTGTCGTAGTAGCGACATTATCAGTGTCGTAGTAGCGACATTATTAGTGGCGTAGTAGCGGCATTATTAGTGGCGTAGTAGCGACATTATCAGTGTCGTAGTAGCGACATCAGTGACGTAGTGACTTCATTAATTATAATGAGTGTCGTAGTAGCTACATTATCAGTTCAGGGAGGGGTTCGGCAATCAGTCGAGGTGGGACCCCCCCAAATATTGTGATTTGTCTCTTCGCAAGGCTTTGCGGATGTCAAGACGGCCATTCCTGCGTCCTACCGGGCACCAGCCACTGCCACCTCTCGACTTAGAGAGGCTCTCCGGAGGGAGTGGTGCTGGGCACCGAGATTCTCCCCTTGAATTCTCTTCCGAATCCCAAGCACCACATCTGTGCCCCCCCCCCCGCCCACCCGCTTTCCGGAATCTTAGTTGCTGGCTCCACTGTCCATCTCGTTCCTCGACGTCACTCTCAGCTGTGTCATATCCTTCCATGTTCACTTACTACACCAACCACATCATCAGATGTGGCAACCAGGACCTCAGGGCCCTCCGTCATTTACGTTCTCTCATCACCACCCACATCGCCGACACCCTCGCCCGTGGCATGGCCGACTGTTGCAATCTCCGTCTGTCTTTATTTCTCATCGAGTAACCTCAAGAAACTACAGCGGCTGCAAAACATCCTCTGCACCTGTCATCATCGGCGAAATTCCCTCGCCTCCCTCCATAACCTGCTACAAGATCTCCTGCCTCCACTCCCTCCTCCACTGGCTTCTCACCATCACCAGCAGGGTCAGCTACAACATCTCCTGCCTCCACTCCCTCCTCCACTGGCCTCCCACCATCACCAGCAGGTTCAGCTACAACATCTCCTGCCTCCACTCCCTCCTCCACTGGCTTCCGACCATCAACAGCAGGGCCAGCTACAAGATCTCCTGCCTCCACTCCCTCCTCCACTGGCCTCCGACCATCACCAGACGGGCCAGCTACAAGATCTCCTGCCTCCACTGGCTTCCCACCATCGCCAACAGGGTCGTCTACAGGATCACCTGCTGTCTCTGCCACCGCTTTCGGTCGTCCACAGTATCTTTCGTCGCTCACCCTACCGTCACCCTGCAACGCAGCACACGGCAGAAGTCTCTGCAGCAGCGAGCGCGACTCACGGCCTCCTACCCGCTATTGCAAAGATCAGGGCCGTCACTGCCAGTTGTCGTCTCTCCGTGGCAGGCCTTGCCGTCTGGAACGCCATCCTGCGTCACATTCACAGCCCTCAATCTACACAGGCATTTCACAGACACTTAAAGGCCCCGCCTCTTAGATTCGCCCCGTTTTCACGAGACACTGGACTCGACTCCGCGCCTCAGAGCCACGGTCATTTATGTCTGTGGCATATTGTGCGCGTTAGAAATTGCACGCCGATTAGAACAGTTTGACGAGCGTTTGTAGCCATTCTACTTGGAGGGCCAGTAGGCAGGCCCTCGCCAGGCCTGAAGCCGGCAGGCCTAGAGCCCACGGCTAGAGTTAGCTCTACACCACAAGTGCACAGGGACCCCGCATCTTCAGGCATCCCAAAAAGATTTGTCTTTGTCTCTCGGCATCTGTCTCTCTCCACGTCTCCATGTCCCATCGCCCCGCCCGACTCCCATCTGCGCAGCCATCATAGGTTTGACCACGATCGCCTCAGCGTGGGCCTTGCCTAGGCCGGCTGCAGCCAGGAGTGGCCCAGGCTCTGTGTGTGTGTCTCTCTCTCTGCGTATCTCTCTCTTGGTGTCTCCAGGTCCACTCACCCCATCTATACAGGGCCGCCCCCGCCACCGCTCATCGTCATGACGATGGCATGGGCTATAGCCTGGGCCCCGCTAGGCCTGCTGCAGCCATTCGTGGTCAAGGCTCTGTGCGGCCGTGGCTCTCCGCCAAGGCCTCGGCGCCAGCATGGGCAGCAGGAAGGAAGCGAAGGCGTTCGCCTCGTCCGCGCTCCAGCCGTACTTCTCCAGCAGCATGTCGGGCAGCGCCCACGGCGTGAGCTCGTCGATGTGCCTCATCTCTCCTGCGGGGGGTCACGGGGGGTCACGAAATGCGGTGAACTGCCGTGACCACGCTGCACAACCGCTCCCCACACGCGCGCTCACCACCACCACAAGAGCAGCAACAAAAAACAGCAACAGAGCCTAGCTTGTATAAAAGTTGTATTCGGCCAATTAACCCTTTCCTGTTCCGAGATCTCCGCAAGGTGGGTCCATGTTTACCGCTGAACCTCGGAACGCGCGAGCGGCTCAGCGTAAAGTTTTTTTTTTATTTCGAGAGGCGTAGTAGTAGTAGCGTCGGCGCTTTTTTAAAGACATTGTTTACCCACTGCAGAGAATCGGGTATTGGACGTGCGAGAGGAAAGGCCGTTCAGCGTTGCGGGGGATCGAGGGTTGCCCCCTCTCACTTAGCGTGGGTTTTTCACACTCAGCGTTGGTTTTTCTCACTCGTTTACGGAGGTGGCCAAACATCCCCAATGTAGGATGACAGAGCTTGGGCAATCATTGGCAGCGCCGTGACTGTGTGGTTTCCCATGCCTCTGGATCAATCCCCTCTACTCTCTCTGAAAGCGAATGACAAAACTGCGTGCATCACACATTTCTCAAGCGTTGATCAGTATTCGTTCCCCAACTCCACGGTTGCCCGCACTCCCTGATAATAATAAAAACAATCACGTTTGCTTTCGCGTAGCATCGTTCAGTCTGTGCAAATCTGCATCTCACACAATCGCCGAGGAGCCACTAACAAGCTGCAATGCGGCAGCCGTGCAGGCGGGGGTGTGAGCCGGCGCTGGCAACACATTTCCCAAGCTCTGGACTCCTCTACATATTAAGATGTTTTGCGAAAGGGCTGAGGGGGGGGGGTCACGTGAGTTATCGATGGGTGTCACTCTGCGCGGTGCACCGACCTTTGCTGTTGAATATTTCCCGAGAGTATCTCCCGGACATCGCAAAGCTCTTGGGGAGGTTTCCCAGCAGCTCGATGATGTGCGCTATGTGGTCTGCGCACGCACACGCACACACAGACAAAGGTCCCCCGTATAGCCTCTAAACAGACTGTTGGGGCAAGTGCTGTTAGGGAGCACCTGTGAAGGCTGGCACGGCACACGAGGGGGTGGGTGGCCAGCACCACGCCCGGCCGCCTTTGTCTCCCTCGTGACGATGTTTACACGCCGCGCAAGGTACTCATTTCAGGCTGAGTCGAGACGCACACACACATACACACATGTCAGCACACACGTGTGTACACACTCAAATGCTCTAATCCCTCCTGGATCAATTGCAGATCAATTGCGTGACTGTGTGGCTGTGTGTGACTGTGACTGTGTGACTGTGTGTGCTATGTGACTGTGTGTGTGTGACTGTGTGTGTGACTGTGTGTAACTGTGTGCGTCTCAAGGTGCACTTGGCCTGGCACAAGCGTCGTGGTGACGTCAACGCCACTTAGTTGCGAATGGCGGTTGTTGCTGTGTGACTGTATGTGTGTGACTGTGAGTGACTGTATGTGACTGTGTGTGTGTGTCTGTGTGTGGCTGTGTGTGACTGTGTGTGACTGTGTGTGTGTGACTGTGTGTGTCTGTGTGTGTCTGTGTGTGTGTGACTGTGTGTGTGAGACTGTGTGTGTGACTGTGTGACTGTGTGTGTGACTGTGTGACTGTGTGTGTGTGACTGCGTGTGACTGTGTGTGTGACTGTGTGTGTGACTGTGTGACTGTGTGTGTGTGACTGTGTGTGTGTCTGTGTGTGTGACTGTGTGTGTGACTGTGTGTGACTGTGTGAGTGTGACTGTGTGTGTGTGTGACTGTGTGTGTGTGACTGTGTGTGACTGTGTGTGTGACTGTGACTGTGGTTGTGAGTGTAATTGTGAGTGAGACTGTGGTTCTGAGTGTGATTGTGAGTGTGTGACTGTGGTTGTGAGTGTATAACTGGTTGTGAGTGTGTGACTGTGAGTGTGACTGTAAGTGTGGTTGTGAGTGTGTGAGTGTGGTTGTGACTGTGAGTGTGGTTGTGAGTGTGTGAGTGTGGTTGTGAGTGTGTGATTGTGTGTGACTGTGAGTGTGTGAGTGTGGTCGTGAGTGTGGCTGTGACTGTGGTTGTTAGTGTGAGTGTGGTTGTGTGACTGTGGTTGTGAGCGTGGTTGTGAGTGTGTGACTGTGGTTGTGACTGTGGTTGTGAGACTGTGGTTGTGAGTGTGACTGTGGTTGTGAGTGTGGTTGTGAGTGTGTGACTGTGGTTGTGAGTGTGACTGTGGTTGTGAGTGTGTGACTGTGAGTGTGGTTGTGAGTATGGTTGTAAGTGTGTGAGTGTGGTTGTGAGACTGTGGTTGTGAGTGTATGACTGTGAGAGTGTGACTGTGAGTGTGGTTGTGACTGTGGTTGTGAGTATGTGACTGTGAGTGTGATTGTGTGACTGTGGTTGTGAGACTGTGGTTGTGAGTGTATGACTGTGAGTGTGTGACTGTGGTTGTGGTTGTGAGTGCGACTGTGAGTGTGGTTGTGGTTGTGAGTGCGACTGTGAGTGTGACTGTGAGTGTGGTTGTGAGTGTATGACTGTGAGTGTGTGACTGTGGTTGTGGTTGTGAGTGCGACTGTGAGTGTGACTGTGAGTGTGGTTGTGAGTGCGACTGTGAGTGCGACTGTGAGTGCGACTGTTCACGAACCCTCGTCTCTGGAGTATCCCTCCCCCGAGTGCGGCTCAAAGAGATACCCTCCTGTGGCCAACTCGAAGGCCTGGGGTGTGAGACAGAGGGACACACGGACACCGCGATGTGAGACGAGTGGTGTGGTACTAGTGGTACTAGTGTACTAGTGGTGTGGAACTAGTGGTGTGGAACTAGTGGTACTATCGGTACTAGTAGTGTGGTACTAGTGGTGTGGTACTAGTGGTACTAGTGGGGTGGTACTAGCGGTACTAGCGTGACTAGTGGTGTAGTTCTAGCAGTACTAGTGGTGTGGTACTAGTAGTTCTAGCAGTACTAGTGGTGTGGTACTAGCAGTACTAGCGGTACTAGTGGTGTTGTACTAGTGGTAGTAGAAGTACTAGTGGAGTGGTATTAGCTGCGGACCATGCAGGCGGTGCTCCAGATGTCGGCCGACGTTCCGTACTCGGCCCCCAGCAGGACCTCCAGGGCGCGGTACTGCCGCGTCTGGATGTCGTCCGAGAAGTGCTTGTCCTGGCAGAGGTCACAGGGGTCACGGCAGAGGTCACGGCACAGAGGTCACAACACAGAGGTCACGGTACAGGGGTCACGGCACAGGGGTCACGGCACAGAGGTCACGGCACAGAGGTCAATGCGTTGTGGTCACGGCATAGGTCACGGGCCGCCGCTAGGTCGACTCAGCCTTAATTGAAGACAGTACCTGGTATTGCTGTGAAACATCAGCACTGGGGAGACAAAGGCGGCTGAGCGTTGGTCGTGGCCTGCATCGATGTGTTCTCGACCAGCACTTGTCCACAAACATAATCGATGGTGATAGTGATGGCTGTGGTGGTTACTTGTAGATCTGAGTGGTTGTGATGGTGGTGGTGATGGTGGTGGTGGTGATGGTCGTGGTGGTCGTGGTGGTGATGGTGGTGGTGGTGGTGATGGTCGTGGTGGTGATAGTGATGGTGGTGGTGGTGATAGTGATAGCTGTGGTGGTTACTTGTGGATCTGAGTGGTGGTGGTGGTGGTGATGGTCGTGGTGGTGGTGGTGGTGGTGATACTGATGATGGTGGTGGTTACTTGTGGATCTGAGTGGTTGTGGTGGTGGTGATGGTGGTGGTGGCTGTGGTGGTTACTTGGGGATCTGAGTGGTTGTGATGGTTGTGATGGTGATGGTGGTTATTTGTGGATCTGAGTGGTTGTGGTGGTGGTGGTGATGATGGTGGTGGTAATAGGGGAGCGGGGAGTGCAGCGGTTAGCATGGGGCACTACGAACCCGGCAAACCTGGTCCTGGGCCTCCTCTAGGTCGAATCAGCCTGAAATGAGTACCTGGTGCAATGTGTAAACATCGCCACTGGGGAGACAAAGGTGACCGGGCGTGGTGGTGGCCACCCACCCTCTCGTGTGCTGTACCGACTTTCATAGGTGCTCGTTAACAGCACTTGCCCCGACAGTCTGTTAAGGCTATACGGGGGATATTTGTCTTTGGAGGTGATCATAGTGGTGGAATACTGTCGATGAGATGGTGATTGGTGGTGGTGATAGTGGTGGTAAGGTAGTGGTGTCGTGATTAAGGTGATGACAATGATGTTGGAAGATCTGAGGTGGTCGTTATGGTGGTGGGTGGTGGTGGAGGCGACAGTAGTGATCGATGTGGTGAGGTGGTGAGATGATGGTGAGAGTGGTGGAGGAGGAGGTGGAGGAGGTGGAGAGGGAGATGGATGAGGTGGAGGAGGTGGAGGGGGAGATGGAGTAGGAGGATGTGGAGGTGGAGGAGGAGGTGGAAGAGCTGGAGGAGGTGGACGAGGTGAAGGTGGAGGAGGTGAAGGAGGATGTGGAGGTGGAGGAGTTGGAGGAGGCGGAGGAGTTGGAGGAGGAGGAGGAGAGGGAGATGGATGAGGTGTAGGAGGTGGAGGGGGAGATGGAGTAGGAGGATGTGGAGGAGGAGGTGGAGGAGGAGGAGGTGGAGGAGGAGGAGGTGGAGGAGGTGGAGGGGGAAATGGAGGAGGTGGAGGAGGTGGAGGGGGAGATGGAGTAGGAGGTGGAAGAGGTGGAGGAGAAGGTGGAGGAGAAAGTGGAGGAGGTGGAGGAGAAAGAGGAAGTGGAGGTGAAGGAGGAGGTGGAGGAGGTGGAGGAGGAGGTCGTACCACCCAGCAGGCGTTGCCCAGGTCGACGACCTTCACGAGGAGATGTTCGGCGCTTGCCGGGTCCAGGATGTCTGGCAGCAGATCCGCAGCGCTCGGCACGACTGCGGCCAATCACCGACACCACGAAACTTGTCGGTTCACTTTTTGTAATCATCGACTTTTCATCAATATTCATAAATTTTCTTTTTTTAAACCACACAAACCTTACCATATTAATAAAAAGTATGCGGCCCTTGCCCCACCACCTTCTCCAACCATTATATAAACGGAGTGGTAGCTCTTGTCATCTCTCATTTACTTGATACAGCTGTCGTGGCTGTGACGGTACCACCTGAAGACGGAAGCTTGTGTTGCCTCCGAAACGTCGTGATTTTTATTTTATTTTACTTTTTAATGTTTTTACCTACGTGACTTTACCGAAAAAACCTAAGAATATGAATCCTTGCAGTCACGAAAGCTTCAAATCTAGAATAAACGCAACTTTTGTTTGCGGTTTGATATTCATGCTTTCGACTTATGTGCAAATAGCAACATTCATTTGTCACAATCGACCTATGTGTGTATGCACGTTGAACTTCTTTCGCACCGTACGTCGCCAACCGTGCTAATCGGAGCTGCGGGTGTAAGGACACCAAACTAAACACAAAAAGCGGTTCTGTAGAAATGAGTTTGTCAATCCGGATGATGATTTAAAAGCACACATATATATCCAGCGGCTTCCTAATATCGGAAGGAAGAGCGTTCCAGACGGCCGCAGAAGAGCATCTGAAAGCGCGCGATGCGGTGACTGCAGTTTTTGTTTGACGGTTAGTCAGAAGCCGCTGCTGCGAGGATGAATGGAGTTTGCGTGGTGATGGTTTATGCTCCTTGACGAGAACAGCGAGGTATTGTGGCTCATTTGTTGCAAAGGTGTCAGTTTTGTTGCCAGATAGAAGGGTAAAAAAACAATTATCATATTTATTATTGGCAAATGAGGTTCCAATGGTTGTAAATGCTTACCCCGAGCTCTCATACTCTGATGGTGCATTGTCTTTGAGTTGTGCGCCTTTTGGCGTCATCTGGTCCAACACCATGTGAGACTAGGCTCTAAGGAAAGCTGTCTCGGGTGTGGACCAATCAACTTCAAGGACAGTGCATATATTATCAGAGTTATGTTTTTTGTTTGCATTATGGCTGCAGGTATTGTGGTCTATGTAAACATGACTCCTTGTAAAAAAAGGTGTCAGTTTTGTTGCCAGATAGAAGGGTAAAAAACAATTATCATGTTGCAAAGCTGTTTGGTGGGTGCCAAGGGATGGGACAGGAGTCAGCATTGAGTGCCACGGTGGCTAGGAGATGTTAGCTACCTCGCCTGGTATACAGGAGGTCGTGGGTTCGACTCCGACCCTGACGCCTGCTGTATATTTGGAGTTTGCGTGTCTCTGTCTTTCATCATCATCACGGTTGCTAGGAGATGTTAACTACCTCGTCTGGTATACAGGAGGTCGTGGGTTCGACTCCGACCATGACGCCTGCTGTATATTTGGAGTTTGCGTGTCTCTGTCTCTCATCATCATCACGGTTGCTAGGAGATGTTAGCTACATCGCCTGTTGTACATGAGGTCCTGGGTTCGATCCCGACAGTGACATCTGCTGTATATTTGGAGTTTGCGTGTCTCTCTCTCTCTCATCATCATCACGGTGGCTAGGAGATGTTAACTACCTCGCCTGGTACACAGGAGCTCGTGGGTTCGATCCCGACCCTAACGCCTGCTGCTGTATATTTGTAGTTTGCGTCTCTCTCTCTCTCCGTGGTCGCGTGGATTTTTCTCTGGGGTCCTCCGGTTTCCCCCTCCACATTTAGAATCAACAACATCACGCGTTAAGAGTATTTGGCCGCTGTAAATGTCCACGTGATGATGACAAGCCACTTTGTTGAGCACTCATTCGTGACGGCCAGCTCGCTTCATATTTTAGTTCATCGTTAAGTTTTATAGTTTATTCTCTGCGTCCGTTCCTGGGCAGAACGAAACATTTCTGTGGAAGGGGAACGTTCAAATTCCGCGTTGACACCGCGGCAGACAAACGTGGGACCCACCGTGAAGCGGAGTGGCTGGCGTAGAGAGTTCATCCAAGGTCACCGGTCCCCCCTCCTCCCTCCCCGCTGCTCCCCCATCCACCCCCTCCTCCCTCCCCGCTGCTCCCCCATCCACCCCATCCTCCCTCCCCGCTGCTCCCCCATCCTCCCTCCCCGCTGCTCCCCCATCAACCCCGTTCTCACCCACCCCATCAACCCCGTTCTCACCCACCCCTTCTCCCCCATCCTCACTTCCCACTACTCCCCCATCCACCCCATCCGCGCTCTCCTCATCAACCCCGCTCTCACCCACCCCTTCTCCCCCATCCTCACTCCCCGCTGCTCCCCCATCCACCCAATCCACGCTCTCCCCATCAACCCCGTTCTCACCCACCCCTTCTCCCCCATCCTCACTCCCCGCTGCTCCCCCATCCACCCCATCCACGCTCTCCCCATCAACCCCGTTCTCACTCACCCCTTCTCTCCCGTGCTCACTCCCCCCTTCTCCCCCACCCTCCTCATCCTCACTCCTCCCTACCAACTCTGCCTCCCAATTCTCAATCCTCATCAAGTCCCCATCCTCCCGGTACTCCCTCGCCAATGCTCCTCCGTCCTCGCCGTGATCGCCCCCTATCACCTCCCAATCCCCGCCATCGTCGCTGCCGCCTGCCCCCCCCTCCTCCTCGTCTTCCCTCCCCATCACCCCCCATTCTTCCCCAAACTCGATGCCCTCCTGCCCACCCTCGCCCCCTCCAGTCGCTCCCCATCCCTCGCTATCATCGCCGCTGCTCATCGCTCCTCCTTCTTCCTCCTCCTCGTCGCTCCTCGCCGGGCGGAGTCGTCGCTGGGGTCGCGGGGCTCCTTCGCTCGTCGTCGACGCCGCCGCCATCGCCGCTCTGCGTTTCTCCTCCTCCTCCTCCTCTTCCCTCCTGCCGTACGATTGCTCCCTCCACCTGCGCGGAGGTTCCTGCGGATGATTGCGAGGAGCGGAACGACGGGCGCCGTTTGTTACGGCTGGGGAGACGATGCTCCGGTGCGCGCTCGCGATCCGGTGCCCGGTGGATCGAGTGGTGATTTTGCGATTCGCGGTCATCCTGCTTAGACGATGGGAAGGCGGATGATGGGAAGGCGGAGTGGGTGGGGAGGTGAGTGTGTGGATGGTCGGGGAGGCGGGTGGGGCGGAGGAGCGACGCTCACAACAACGAGCGGAGCGCCGGGTGGCTATAGCACAGCGAGTTGGCACAGTAGGGGGCACAGGTGGTGCATCGGCCACTCATCTCAGTCAGTCGACCCATGGCACCTGGGACACTTCACGTGACCTCAAGGTGCACATAGTCTGGCACAAGCGCCATGGTGACGTCACCGACACTTAGCGGCGAATGCCGGTTGTTGTTGTTGGGGGTTTGTGGGGAGGCGGGTGGGGTGGGAGTGTAGTGGTTAGCGCTACGCTGCACTACAAACCCGGCGACCCGAATTCCATTCCCGCTCACGGCCGACACCGGTGACGATTATCTGAACCGGTCCCAGGCCTCCCCTAGGTCGACTCAGCCTGGGGGTAGGTGGTAGTTGGGGGGGGGTAGTGGGTGGGTTTGGTGGGGGTTTGGTGGGTGGGTTGGTGGGGGGTTGGTGGGGGGGGGGCGGTGGAGGTGCGCGCACACCTGCTGCGGCACAGCTGTGCGCCGGCCTGCCGTGGCGTGAGCGGCCAGCCTGCGCAGGTAGTCGTCCCCGACGCACAGCAGCACGTTCTCGGGCTTGATGTCCGTGTGGATGACCCCGCAGCGCGCGTGCAGGTACTCCAGGGCCTGCAGCACCTGGGGGGACACGTGGGGGACACGTGGGGGACACGTGGGGGCTCACGTGGGGGGTGAGGGGACACGCGGGGGGACACGTGGGGGTCACGTGATGGGACACGTGGGGGGACACGTGGGGGACACGTGGGGGGACACGGGACACATGGGGGACACGCGGGGGGACACGTGGGGGACACGTGGGGGGACGCGTGGGGGGACACGTGGGGGGACACGTGGAGGGACACGTGGGGGAACACGTGGGGGGACACGTGGGGAGACACGTGGGGGGACACGTGGGGGACACGCGGGGGACACGCGGTGGGACACGTGGGGGGTGAGGGGACACGCGGGGGGAAACATGGGGGACACGTGGGGGGACACGTGGGGGGACACGTGGGGGACACGTGGGGAGACACGTGGTGGGACACGTGGGGGGACACGTGGAGGGACACGTGAGGGGACACGTGGTGGGACACGTGGGGGGTCACGTGGGGGACACATGGGGGGACACGTGGTGGGACACGTGGGGGGACACGTGGGGGACACATGGGGGGACACGTGGCAGGGGTGACGGCAGACCGTCGCTCACGCACCGCAAATTGCGCGTCTATTTCGCAAAATGAAATTAAACGCGTTCGACGGTAAGCCGCCCGCTTCCGTTGAGTCGTCGCTTGTGAAAAATAATCGACGGTGGGGTTTTGCCTGCCGAGATATAAACATTGTTTTAGTTTTATTTGTATTTTTTTTTAAAGTGATTTGTTTACTTGAACGAGACTTCGCACTCCCGCCGTGTTTGGGATTTAGTATTTGTTGTTGCGACGTTCTGACCTGCCCCGACTGGACATCTGTGACATAAACCTTTTCTGTTCACAAAATATTATAAAAAAATATATAGGCGACGTTTCGGGCAATGACCCTTCTTCATCGCACGCACGCTACGAAGAAGGCCCCCGTTGCCTGAAACGCGTCGGCTGTGCTCCACATGTTCATCCCCTTAAAGGTGCCGCAGTGTCATTGACGAAGGCGTTTAGTTCTTATGCAACTCTAAGGGGCCGTCCATAAATGACGTCACGTACCTAGGAAGGGGGGGGGGGTCAGACATTTGTGACGATGTGTGACCAGGGGGGGGGGGGGGTGGTTTGAGAAATATGACGTCACATCAAAATGGGCGATTTTAAATAAATATAGAATTGTTACAACAACACTAATTGTTATCACAACACTCCTACAACATCAGAGTGCAGCGCTACACTAAATACACACTACAACGACAATAGTTTAAAGCGATTTGAAGCATTTTTATTTTAAAAATTTCAATATGATTTTGGCGGGGGGGGGGGGGGGGCAGAGCTTTGTGACGTCATATTTGAGGGGGGGGGGTCAAAAATCGTCCAAAATCGCGTGACGTCATTTACGGACGGCCCCTAAATGAATGACGATGAACGACGAAAATATTGCGTGACGATGGTGACGACGGTGACGACGGTGACGACAGGCCCCACCTGGCGGATGATGGTCTTGACGCAGGGGATGGGGATGCCTCTGTAATTGGCCCTGACGATCCACAGCAGCAGCTGCTGCCCCAACGCCTCGAACACCATGCACATGTCCACCGTGACGTCAAGGGAAGTCCGACGGTTTTTCACCCACCCTCTGATCCTCGCACCACTCGCCACGTCACGAGCTCTGTGCCATCCATCCCGTGCGCTACGCTCGCAGTCGTCCGTCTCTGTGCCTCCCTCGAACCTGCGCCCAGCCTCGATCGCTCACTCGCTCGCTCACTCGCTCGTCCCTTCGCGCTTCTCGCTCCACTCCACTCAGGAAACGAATCCCTCTGCAGCACACACACCCACTCACTCACTCACCCACTCACTCACTCGCTCACTCAACCACTCGCTGACCCACTCACCCACTCACTCACTCGCTCACTCACTCACTCGCTCACTCACCCACTCACACACCCACTCACTCACTTGCTCACTCACTCACTCGCTCACTCACTCGCTGACCCACTCACTCACCCATTCACTTAACCACTCACTCACCCACTCACTGACCCGCTCGCTCACCCACTCACCCACCCACTCACTCACTCATTCACCCACTCACTCACCCACTCACTCACTCACTCACTCACCCACTCATTGACCCGCTCGCTCACCCACTCACTCACCCACTCACTCACCCATTCACCCACTCACTCACTCACCCACTCACTCACCCACTCACTCACCCACTCACCCATTCACTCACTCACTCATTCACCCACTCATTCACCCACTCACTCACCCACTCACTCGCTGACCCACTCACTCACCCATTCACTTAACTACTCACTCACCCACTCATCCGCTCACTCACTCACACACTCACCCACTTATTCACCCACCTACTTACCCACTCACTCACCCACCCATTCACTTACCCACTTACTCACCCACTCCCTCACCCACTCACTCACTCACCTGCTCACTGACCCGCTCACTCACCCATTCACTTACTCACTCACCCGCTCGCTGACCCACTCACTCACCCATTCACTTACTCACTCACTCATTCACTCACTCACCCGCTCGCTGACCCACTCACTCACCCACTTGCAAGCCCACTCACTCACCCCTTCACTAACCCACTCACTCACCTGCCCTTATTACCACCCCTACCCCATCCCCTCCTTAACCACTCCCACCTGTCCTCCTAACTGTCACCATAACTACTCCACCACTTTAATACAAACAACGACAACTCCACCACTCCCATCTGACGTGCCGTTTCACGAACTGCTGGATCTCAGGGCGCCAGGCACATCAACCTAAAGTAGAGACCCCGACCCCACCACCGCCCCACTACGCGGAGGGATACGGATTCCGTTCGGCCCGGACACTTTGAAGTTGTCGAGCAGAGCGACGACTCGTTCCCGGTACGGATCTTCGGAGTCCGCCTCCCGTATCTGTGAGCGACACGCCGGTGGGGGGGTGGGTGGGGGGGTGGGTAGGGTGGGGGTGGGTGGGGGGGTGGGGAGGGGTGGTGGGTGGTTGGTGGGTGGGGGTGGGTGGGAGTGGGTGTGGGTGGGTGTGGGTGTGGGTGGGTGGGATGGGTGGGGTGGGGGGGTTCGGGTGGGTGGGTAGGGGTGGTGGGTGGGTGGTTGGTTGGTGGGTGGGGGGTGGTTGGTTGGTTGGTGAGTGGGGGGGTGGGTGGGGGTGGCTGGGGGTAGGGGTGGGTGTTGGTGGGTGGGGGTGGATGGGGGTGTGGGTGGTGGGTGGGGGTGGGTGGGGGATGGTGGGGGTGTGGGTGGTGGGGTGGGTGGGTGTTGGTGACGGGGGGGTGTATGTGGGGGATGTGGGTCCTCGTTCAGCGGTTCTCGGTCAGCGCTTTCTGCGTGACACGGACCGCGCGGGGTGCCGGAGTGTCGCCGCCACTCACCCGCTGCAGGATGCTGACCTCGTCCTGAGCGGCCTGCGCGTAGTGCAGAGCGCTCTTCACCACCTTGAGCGCCACGAAGCGCTTGGCCCTGGACGCGGCAAACGCAACGCACCGCTCATCGCCGCTCAGCACCGCTCATCTCCGCTCATCACCACTCAGCATTGCCCGGCACTGCACCGCTCATCGCCGCTCAGCACAGGGACGTGAGCAACCATCGCAGTTGAGGGTGAGAGGCAGAGAAGTCGTCATGGTGATGACAACGATTACGACGATGATTATGACCACGATGATGACGACGATGACGGTAATGATGATGATGATGCCAATGACGATACAACAATGATGGTGATCGCGATGGTGATGATGATGATGATGCTGACGACGGTGATGATGATGACGGTGATGATGATGCTGACGGTGTTGACTATGGCGACAATTGTTGGCGACGACGATGATGACGGTGACGTGATTGCGACGATGATGACGACAATGATTATGACGTTGATGATGATAACGATTGTGATGATGGTAACAACGTTCCGACGGTGACGATGATGACGCCTGCGACGACAAAGAAGACCGTGAGGATGATGATGACCCTGATCGTGATCTTGTTCTTTCTGCAACACAGAGCGCCTCAGCTCAAGGAGCTCCGTGCAGAGTTTAAAAAGCGGGAGACCAAACATCGAGCGATTTAGATGGCAGGGCCGGTGCAAGGGCCGAGGAATCGGTGACCCTGAGGGCACGTGGGGGTCACGGATGGGCTGTAGGCAGAGGTCGCAAACGGGTTTTGATTCCTTACCCGTACCCGGCCGCACCAGGGTCGCAAACGGGTACCCGTACCCGGCCGTACCCGTACCTGGCCGTACCCGTACCCTACCCGTACCCGGCCGATCGCGATGATGACAACACGGCCGGGTACGGGTAGAGTACTGGTACGGCCGGGTACGGGTACGGCCGGGTATTGGGTACCTGATTGCGACCTCTGGGATGAAGCCATGTTGCAGGCGCGGGTGGGTTAATTCTAGGAACTTAAATTGTGAGAAGAGACAAGACGTTGGGAAATGAGTGACAAACAGTTACTCACCAGTGACTCACGGCCTACCCGTACCCGTACCCGGCCGCACCAGGGTCGCAAATGGGTACCCGTACCCGGCCGGGTACGGGTAGCCGGGTATCGGGTAGGGTACGGGTATCGGGTATCCGGTTGCGACCTCTGGCTGTAGGGGAGGGACGAATTCAACTATTGTCTCGATGTTGTCCGTACAGCAGGTGGAGGGCACATAGAGCATTTATAAAATGTGTAATGCGGGCGTAAATGGGCGGGGCGGATATGACGATCCGAGAGGGAGGAGTCAGGGTGACGTGGGGGAGAAGTTATAGCGGGGAGACAGGAAGCTATCTGGGTCAGTCGGGGGAGTGAAGGGTGGTGAACACGTTGGGTGGTCGCCGTGCCTCAGCCTGGTGGCTGAGGGGCTCATGACGGCGCCAGCCAGCGGGGTGGAAGAGAGAGTGGAGGATTGAGGTAGGAAATGGCGAGATAGCCATAGAGGCCACGAAGGGCTGACATTGGGAGGTGGCGAGATCGCCACGCACGGAGGAACAGGGAGCAGAGATGGAGCTGCTGGGGGAGCAGCCAGAGGGCTGTACCAAGAGCCTGCAGCGGAGCTGCAGGAGCGTGGAAGGCTACGGGAGCGAAGGCAGATGTGGGGCTGCCAGGGAGAGAGTCTCAGGAGGAGTGCCGTGTGGGAAGGAGAACGCGAACCCCAAATAAAGGACACGGAGTCAGCAAGAAGTGTCTGAGTCCTTTTATTACACTGGAGTCAGAAGTGAAACGGCATCTCAAAACAACTGAGAGAAAGAAGAAAAAAAATATTCCTGCTACATCATCCGACGACGACTACCTTCCTCAGACAGTGGACCTGCCTGCGATGGAAGAGGAGATCCGTTCTGGAACGAGTACGGGTCCGGGTGAGCAAGGTGTCGCCGCGTCGGTGGACCTGTCTGTGCCGGAGGATGCCAACTTACGATGGAGACAGATGGCGGCGCAGATGGGGACCTTGAAAATCGTGCTGGCGCAACTGTGTGAGTTCACCACGCCGAGGACGACGTCGGGGAGGCCCGGTGGTGATCCGCAGGCCTCTGCCTTTCCTGCGCTGCCAGCGCCATTGCCACGTGGCACGAAGACGCCATCTTGTCTTCACCGCGGCGGGAGGACGCCGCCATCTTCAACATCGCGGCGGAGAGGCAGCCTTGCGCTGCCATCTGGAGGTGCCGCGGGGTGAGCAGCCTGCTGTGAGCTGCTGTTTTTCGAGGGGGTGCTGCGAGGAGAAGACGCCGATGCTGCAGCTGCTGGGGCGGGAGCTTCCCGTCCTGGCTCGGGTGCGTGACAACGGAGCCGTCAAGTCGCCGAACGAGTTCTGCGAGGCGTCTCAAGTTGCCACCCTGCCGTCCTCTTCTTGCTGCAGCCCCGGGCGAGTCATAACGATACGCACCCGGCCTTAACACACACCTCACTCATCTTTCGAGGGCCGGGGGGCTATTTTGGTTTTCTCTTATGACTCGATTGTGCGGAGCGCGGTTCGGACTGTGTGTATATGTGTGTAATAACGATGAACGCGCTATCTGCTTGTTGCTTGGTGTCAATATAAGTGTGTGCGTGTGTTGAGAATGGACGGAGAGTCTGCTGTATTTGCTGAGTGTCAAATTGTGTGTGTGCGCTGCTGCGTGGAGTTGTTATCTTGATGGTGAAGTTAATTATTAACTTGGGAGCGTCGGGTATCTTGCGCTGTATTATTTGTGGGTTACCTTGTGTGATGGGCTTAATTGGAAAAAAATATATATATTTTTTTGGTGTATTGTGCTGCGAGGTGCTGTGTGCGATGCGATTGTTGCAAGAGAGAGAATAATTGTGTTGTTGCTGCAAAGTTACGACAGGATTAATGGTGTGTTGGTTGCCTGCAGATCTGCTTGCTATTGTGCTTAAATGTACGCGTGTGATCGCGATATGCTGATTGCATGTGCTGTTATACCGTTCTGTATGGTTATGGGGTGCGATGCAGTGGTTGACTATTGGAATTGAGATTGTTATTATATTGTGCGTACTTGTTGGAAATTGGTAACAAATTGGAGGGGGACCCAAAAATTTGGTTGTATGGGTGTTGTGCACACGAGATTGCGTGTATATTATAGGGGTAATTGAGCTTTTTGAAAATGAGAGTGCGCGATGACGCCGTTGTGGGTGGCTTAGATGTTAATGCTAATGGGATCGTAAATGGGCGCCAAGTGGCGTCGTGTATTGGTTGATTGCATGCAGCCACGAGTTGCTTTGCGAGTTGGGTTGTGTAACTAATGTGGTTGGTAAAATATTGGTTAAAAATTCCCCGATATGACTGCTGCGCGCAGCAAGCTGGGGCTGTGCGTCTATCGTTGTTGGGGTTGTTACAATAAGACGGGGGATGCATTTTGTGACCCCCAGCATAGGGAAGCTGGGGTGCACGAATGGAGAAAACTGGCCACGTGTTCGCACGTTGGGCCGCCATTTTGCGCGCACGCGGGGTATGGCGACGATGCGCTTTGCGGAAAGGGCCGCCATTTTGAGTGCGCGCGAGAGATTGCGCGAACGCGCTGGGCGAAGGGGGACGCCATTTTGAGCGCGCGGGAAAAACCGGGGTGGGGCAAATATTCCATCTGTTATGCCTGCCATTGTTGATTGGGTGATGCACGAGTTGTGGTCACATCGGCCTATGGCTGATGGCTGACCTGACAGCCCGGAGGCGAAACCTCCGTGGTATGTCCTGAACTAATGGGCCATGTGCTCATATGGCTCGGGGAGTCATGGTTCAGTTGTGCGGTGGCAGACTGAACCTGGTGTGCCGGGGGCTCACGGGATCTGGGTTAGGGTGTTATTGTCTCTATAAGAGAACATTGCCCCGTGGGGGGAGTACAGGGGGTCTGGCATTGCTGGGGGATGAACCTTCCCTGGGCTATAAAGCATCGGACTATACGAGGCTGGTGTGTGTCCATCTCTGATGGGATAGTAAGGGAGGAGCATGGCCGAGTTGCTGCTCATCCCCGAAATTGCACTAGCTGAGAGTATGGTCAGTGGATGTTGCTGTGGGTTGACGACCACGGTGGGGGTTAGGGCGAGTTAAACGTTACCGCTGGGGAGCGTGGCTCTCTCCACGCGAGGGTGTGTGATTAGGTGTTTTGTTGGGTTGCTGAGAGTGACCATGGGTACATGCTGTGTACGTGCGATGTCTGTGCTGGTCCTCAAGGGAGGACTGCTGGTGGGCAAGAGCAGGAAATTTTGTTGTTGTTGTTGTTACGTGTAAATAATATTGTTGTTAAAATGTAAATACTGGGGCATCCATTGCGTTTATTTTGGGTATTTATGGGGAGTTTTTTTTTAAGCGGGCCGGATTTACATCATCTCCACTACCCTGGGGCCGGGTGGCTGTCGTGTACGACATGCGGATGTGCGTTGTTGTGCTGTGCCTCAGGGGATTGGATTCTCCTTCTCGTCACAGATTCTTCAGCTCCCGTCGCACTGGGTGTTACCTGGTGTGCTAGCTGGATGAGGACTTGAAGGAGCAATTGAGCGCCGTTCGTCATTCTGCTCTACCACTTGCTCTTTGACGTTGGACTTGAGCCGAGCGGATGGAACTGCAACATGGACACGCACTAAAACATCACATTCTGGGTTGTGCGCGTTGGCCGTTCTTGCGTGTCAGTTGCCGTTGTTGTTCATTGTGCCATTCTTATTCTTGTTGTTGTTGTGCGGAGGACAGGCCGGTGTTCTGTTCCAGTTCCTGATACCTCCCCTTTCGTTGCTTGTGTTGTTGTTGTTATAATCTCCGTTGTGTCTGGGGGACTCCTGATTGTGATGCCTTCGCCCGCATTATTTTGTTCTGTTTCAGCCGAGGACGGCTGGGATTTTCTCTACGGGGGAGGGTAGTGTAATGCGGGCGTAAATGGGCGGGGCGGATATGACGATCCGAGAGGGAGGAGTCAGGGTGACGTGGGGGAGAAGTTATAGCGGGGAGACAGGAAGCTATCTGGGTCAGTCGGGGGAGTGAAGGGTGGTGAACACGTTGGGTGGTCGCCGTGCCTCAGCCTGGTGGCTGAGGGGCTCATGACGGCGCCAGCCAGCGGGGTGGAAGAGAGAGTGGAGGATTGAGGTAGGAAATGGCGAGATAGCCACAGAGGCCACGAAGGGCTGACATTGGGAGGTGGCGAGATCGCCACGCACGGAGGAACAGGGAGCAGAGATGGAGCTGCTGGGGGAGCAGCCAGAGGGCTGTACCAAGAGCCTGCAGCGGAGCTGCAGGAGCGTGGAAGGCTACGGGAGCGAAGGCAGATGTGGGGCTGCCAGGGAGAGAGTCTCAGGAGGAGTGCCGTGTGGGAAGGAGAACGCGAACCCCAAATAAAGGACACGGAGTCAGCAAGAAGTGTCTGAGTCCTTTTATTACAAATGGTTAGTAAAACTTGATAACTCATCTTCTTGGTTCTTTCGGTAAAGTCATGTAGAAGGGAAGTAATAAAACAATAAAAATAAAACATAATAAAATAAAATAATTCTCACGACGTTTCGGCTACAACGCAAGCAGCCGTCTTCAGGTGAAGAATGAGACACTGCCAAGCTAGGAGCTTATATATAAGCTGCGTTGGAGGTGGAAGAAGAGCGCCTTAACAAAAGAATGTGCATATCAAGAGGAATTTAGCATATTCATGGGAAATGCGTAGGAGGTGGGCGGGGGGGTTCAAAGTCATATTATGCCCATGCATTATGCAGGATCAGCAGCACCAAGGGAGGGTGCAGGGAGTAGCATTAACAAAGGAAAGGAATGTTAATAGTATGTAGCTGCAGTTACTAAACAATTACGTAGAAAACTAAAGTGTAAACTACATAAAAAAACTAAAGTATAAACTGCATAGCATCATCAGTATATTTACTATACTCTACAATAAGCTGAGTTACTAACAGCAAGTAATACATTACAATTCTACGTCGTAAAAATTATATAATATGCTTCCATCTAAACTTTATTCTCTTACATCACACAAGCATACACCGTACTATATACTGCCATAGATAAACCCTGCAGTCACGAAAGCTTTAAATCGAAACTTGATAACTCATTAAACCGTTTGTAACTTTTTGTGTAATTGTAACATGTTGCCATCGTAAAAATATACTCCTTTGAAATTGGGTCCATCTCTTTTAAACAGCCTGTATACAGCAGGCGTCATCAGGGTCCGGATCGAACCCCCCATGACCCCCTGCGCACCGGGCGAGGTGGTTGACATCTCGCGGCACTCACCGCGTGTCCCAGCAGAGCCACACGGTGGAGAAGTGTCCCCAGCCGAGTTTGCGGACCACGTGGTAGCGGCTGTCGAAGAGGTCCCCCTTCCGCACGGGGTGGTAGCCGCCTGTGAGAGAGACAGAGGAGAGACAGAGGAGACAGACAGAGGAGAGAGACAGTGAAGAGAGACAGAGGAGAGAGAGATGAGAGAGAGATGAGAGAGACAGATGAGAGACAGATGAGAGAGACAGAGGAGAGAGATGAGAGACAGAGGAGAGAGACAGAGGAGAGAGATGAGAGACAGATGAGAGAGACAGAGGAGAGAGATGAGAGACAGAGGAGAGAGACAGAGGAGAGAGATGAGAGACAGATGAGAGAGACAGAGGAGAGAGATGAGAGACAGAGGAGAGAGACAGAGGAGAGAGATGAGAGACAGATGAGAGAGACAGAGGGGAGAGATGAGAGACAGAGGAGAGACAGATGAGAGAGACAGAGGAGAGAGAGATGAGAGAGACAGAGGAGAGAGACAGAGGAGAGAGATGAGAGAGAGAGATGAGAGAGACAGAGGAGAGAGACAGAGGAGAGAGACAGAGGAGAGAGACAGAGGAGAGACAGAGGAGAGAGATGAGAGAGAGAGATGAGAGACAGAGGAGAGAGACAGAGGAGAGAGATGAGAGAGAGAGATGAGAGAGACAGAGGAGAGAGACAGAGGAGAGAGACAGAGGAGAGAGACAGAGGAGAGACAGAGGAGAGAGATGAGAGAGAGAGATGAGAGACAGAGGAGAGAGACAGAGGAGAGAGAGATGAGAGAGATGAGAGAGACAGAGGAGAGACAGAGGAGAGACAGAGGAGAGAGAGATGAGAGACAGATGAGAGACAGATGAGAGACAGATGAGAGAGACAGATGAGAGACAGAGGAGAGAGACAGATGAGAGAGAGATGAGAGACAGATGAGAGAGAGATGAGAGACAGATGAGAGAGACAGAGGAGAGACAGAGGAGAGACAGATGAGAGAGACAGAGGAGAGACAGATGAGAGACAGAGGAGAGACAGAGGAGAGAGAGATGAGAGACAGAGGAGAGAGACAGAGGAGAGACAGAGGAGAGAGATGAGAGACAGAGGAGAGACAGAGGAGACAGACAGAGGAGAGAGAGATGAGAGATGAGAGAGACAGAGGCCCCTGTCCAAAACAGCCTGGGACCCGCGCATTCAAGGCCCGCGCTCCATCCACAGTTCGCTTGCGGAATGTATTAAAGTACTCAACTTGATTTTTATATGAGTAAGGCTCCATTGAGCTGCATAGATCGCTCTTTTTCAACCCACAGTGTGACTGGGGCCTCCCGAACGAGACGATGGCACCGTATTGATACGATGGAACTGGATCGAGCCGATGGCACCGTATCGCGAACACCTGCACCACCCGATGCCCGCTGCTCTCCGGCGGACTGAGCGGCATTAGTCGCGCTAACTCCTGAAGCTATCGCACGGCTCACAGACTTAAAGTTGGACGTGTGTGATTTTCACACACGCACACACGCGCATACACTCGCGCATACACACGCACACACGTGCACACATGCACACACACACGCACACACACGAGCGCACGCACCCACACACGCACACACACGCACACATGCACGCACACGCACACACACACGCACACACACGAGCGCACGCACACACACACACGCGCACACACACGCACACACACGCGCGCACGCAGACACGCGCACACGCGCACACACATAACGAGCATCGCTCCCCTCCCCATGCTGCAAACGCAAAACTTGGCAGGACCCTCCTGAAAGTGAGTCAGGTGACTCGGTGCGAGACTTCCCCGTGTAAACAAGCACAACAACAACAACAGGAACAACAACAGCTAGCAACCAGCACGTCTATTGGACGTGACGTCCAGCCAGCCAGCAAAACTTTTTGTCAGAATCTAATGTAGAATATGACATCAGCCCACCACGTCCTTTGGATGTCACCGTCTGTCCGTCTCTCGTTCCCTTCCTCCCTCCGGATGTGATATCCGGCCAGAAAGCCAACCAGGAATACTTTTTCCCTCATATAGTGTGATGGTACCGTACATTATATCAACCAGCACCTCCCTCCTTTTTTTTGAAAACGATCAGACGAGAAAGATGCTCGGTCTTTCGGCACTTGACTTCGTTCATCATGTCGTTGGTTTGTATTTTTTTATATGCTCCCTTTTTTAATCAAAGACATAACGCGGGTTTCCCGTGTAACATTAGTCCCGTTGTGTGTTACTGTGTTCATAGACACCAACAAGAAACACAAATCACCCTCAAAAACCCATCACCAGATCCCCTGCTGCTGCGCTACCAGCAGCATAGCGGCGAAAGGCACCTGCCTGACCTCCCTCCCCTCCCTCCCTCCCTCCAACCCCTCCCTCCCCTCCCCTCCCTCCTTCCCTCCTTCCCTCCGGGCGTAACATCCAATGAGCCAAACCAGCCAGCCAGCCAGCAAAACTTTTTTTCGAACGATCTCCATCTTTCGTACGACTGCTGCTGGAGTAGACGCAGAGCAGCGACAACAACTTCACATCCAGGCGGTGAAGCCCATCAGACAGCGCGGGGTGGTGTGACCGCCGCGGTGTTTCTCCTTCGCGTTTGTGGATCGGGCCATTGCGTCGTTATACTGGCAGCAACAACAGTTCCACACTGCCCACCAGGGATGATTTGTCTGTCTGTCTGTCGTGCATAGAGCCACGCCCTCGAGTTTTGTCACGCAGCTTGCGCCGCGTGACACGGATCGCACGAATGCGCTGTCCAATCAAGTTCCTACCTGCCCACTCCGAATGGAACGTGTTACGTGCGCTACGGTCTGTCCTAACAATTCACGACGATGACGATTTGTGCCTCCTCCCATTGAACCCTGCGGACGGCAGAGGTCGCAACCGGGTACCCGATACCCGTACCCTACCCGATACCCGGCTACCCGTACCCGGCGGTACGGGTACGGGTAGCCGTTTGCGACCCTGGTGCGGCCGGGTACGGGTAGGCCGTGAGTCACTGGTGAGTAACCGTTTGTCACTCATTTCCCAACGTCTTGTCTCTTCTCACAATTCAAGTTCCTAGAATCAACCCACCTGCGCCTGCAACATGGCTTCATCCCAGAGGTCACAATCAGGTACCCGATACCCGTACCCTACCCGATACCCGGCTACCCATACTCGGCCGGGTACGGGTACGGGTAGCCGTTTGCGACCCTGGTGCGGCCGGGTACGGGTACGGGTAGGCCGTGAGTCACTGGTGAGTCACCGTTTGTCACTCATTTCAGGTAGGGTACGGGTACGGGTAGGGAACTGGTACCCGTACCTGGCCGGGAACGGGTACGGGTAAGGAATCAAAACCCGTTTGCGACCTCTGGCGGACGGGCAGCGGATCCCTCACCGGGACAGTAATCCTGCGGATCTTCTTGGCCGTCCCCAAAGTCCGAGTCGCCGTGGCCGCTCGAGTCCTTGGGCCGGCGAAGCGGGTCCTGCTCCTCCTGCTCCTCCTTGCCGCCGTGACGCCCCTCGGAGTCCTCCTCCTTCCCGTTGTGGCCGCACTCCTCTTCTGTGGTGGGGCCCGGCGAGCCGTCGCCGCTCTCCAGCTCCGGCCTGCGACGCCGGGGGGGTGGGGGGGGGGCGCAAATGTTTGATAAACTCTTGACCATTTCACCGCCTTTTGGCGTCATCTGGTCCAACCCATGTGAGACTAGGCTCTAAGGAAAGCTGTCTCGGGTGTGGACCAATAAACTTCAAGGACAGTGCACATTATCAGAGTTATGTTTTTTGTTTGCATTATGACTGCAGGTATTGTGGTCTGTGCAAACATGACTCCTTGTAAAAAAGGTGTCAGTTTTGTTGCCAGATAGAAGGGTAAAAAACCAATTATCATTTAACCGTTGTTTTTAACTTACCAGGCAAGACCCCACTGAGCTGGAAAGTTTTTTTTTGTTTTGAAGCCACCTGTCAACAGATAATAGCTCAACTAAATGGCTTATCTCTTGACTTAAAGCTTTCGTGACTGCAGGAATTCATATTCTTGGTTCTTTCGGTAAAGTCACATAGAAGGGAAATAAGAAAATAGAAAACAATAAAATTCTCACGATGTTTCGATTGAACCTATCTACGTGACTTTACCGAAAGACCCAAAGTGGCTTATCGTCGTTCTAAACTAAAACTAAACTACTTGAAATTCCACCACCGAGCTACGTACTGTAGCTCTCATTCTTTCGGAAGCGACCCGGCCACAATTGGATAAGCTCAATAAAGCGGCGAATCGTGGTTCTAAACTTCAACTAAACTACGTAGAATGGAAATAATAAAATAATAAAATTAAAACATAATAAAATAATTCTCACGACGTTTCGGCCACAACGCAAGCAGCCGTCCAACCCAGCTTAAATATACGCTCCAAGCTTGGTGGTGTTTCATTCTTCACCTGAGGACGGCTGCTTGCGTTGTGGCCGAAACGTCGTGAGAATTATTTTATTATGTTTTATTATTATTTTATTATTATTTCCCTTCTACGTGACTTTACCGAAAGAACCAATAAGATGAATCTCTGCAGTCACGAAAGCTTTAAATCGAAACTTAAAGTAAACTATTTAGTATTTTACCAGCTGGCAAGGCATTGTGGTTACTGCCTTCTCCTGGCAAGCCAGGGTACGACGAACATCTGAGTTTGCGGTGACCCACCAACCCTCGCTGCTGCCCGCACAGCGCTGGGTCACGTGCTATTCGCCAGCATCAGAGTGTGAATTGAGCTCATTGAAGGACAGCACAAACTCTACTAATGAGGTGATGGACATTCTTCCAAGGTCCCTTAAATCACCCCTAATCCTCACCACGGGACCAGAGCCATCTTCTCACATGCCCTGTCGTGTGAGAGGTATTCATCACATGGCAATCAAATCTCCCCCCCCCCCACCCCCCCGATACGTATTAATTTCTCATAAGCGGGGCATAAAGCCCCACTAAGTAAAGGTTAAAATGTTACATTTCGATTTAAAGCTTTCGTGACTGCAGGGATTCATCTTCTTGGTTCTTTCAGTAAAGTCACGTAGAATGGAAATAATAAAATAATAAGAATAAAACATAATAAAATAATTCTCACGACGTTTCGGTCTGTCGAGAAGACAGTCTGAATGTGTCTTCTCGACAGACCTGTTTTTCACCTGAGGACGGCTGCTTGCGTTGTGGCCGAAACGTCGTGAGAATTATTTTATTATGTTTTATTCTTATTATTTTATTACTTCCATTCTACGTGACTTTACCGAAAGAACCAAGAAGAGGTTAAAATGTGTTGCCGTTCTATCTCTGCGTCTTTATGTACGCCAATGGATCCCGAGGAAAACTCATTTCCATGGAACTGCGTTTTGTGTTTAGTTCGTGGTCCTTTTAAATTTCTCAGATGCACCAGAGGTCACAAACGGGTTTTGATTCCCTACCCGTACCCGTACCCGGCAGCACCAGGGTCGCAAATGGGTACCCGTACCCGTACCCGGCCGGGTACGGGTACGGGTACGGGTGCGTGACGTCATTTATGGACGGCCCCAGACACGCGGTGTTCGAACCCAGACTCTCGGCGATTTTGCCATTTCAAGTTGTTGGATCCTCCTACGCGCCAGCCAGCCACCACTGATTGTTAAGAACTGCAGAACTTTTTGTGTTGAGTTGAATTGTCAGTCCCCCGCAACTCCGATTAGCACGGTTGGCTACGTAGGGTGCAAAAGAAGTTCCAAATACATACACTCACACACTCACTAACCGACCCACTGACCCACTCACTGACCCACCCACTCACTGACGCACTCACCCACTCACTGACCCACCCACTCACCCACTCACTGACCCACTCACTGACCCACCCACTCACCCACTCACTGACCCACCCACTCACTGACCCACTCACCCACTCACTGACCCACTCACTCACCCACCCACTGACTCACTCACCCACACACTCACCCACTGACTCACCCACCCACCCACTGACCCACTCACTCACCCACCCACTCACGGTTGGCTACGTACAGTCCGAAATAAGTTCAACATACACACATACACTCACCCACCCACGCATTGACCCACTCACCCACGCATTGACCCACTCACCCACTCATTCCCTTACCCACCCACTCACCCACCCACCCACTCACTCACGCACACACTCACTCACCCACTCACGCAATCACTCACCCACACACTCATCCACTCACTCACCCACACACTCACTCACCCACTCACTCACCCACACACTCACTCACCCACTCACCCACTCACTCACCCACACACTCACCCACTCACTCACCCACTCACTCACCCAAACACTCACCCACTCACTCACCCACATACCCACCCACTCACTCACCCACCCACTCACTCACTAACCCACCCACTCACTCACCCACACACTCACTCACCCACACACTTACACACTCACTCACCCACTCACTCACCCACCCACTCGCTCACCCACACACTCACTCACTCACCCACACACTCACCCACTCACTCACCCACACACCCACTCACTTACCCACACACTCACCCACTCACTCACCCACTCCCCCAATCACTCACCCACACACTCACCCACCCACTCACTCACCCACCCACTCACTCACCCACACACTCACTCACCCACTCACCCACTCACTCACCCACACACCCACCCACTCACTCACCCACACACTCACCCACTCACCCACACACACACCCACTCACTCACCCACACACACACGGTTGGTTACATACGGTCCGACAGTAGATCAACATACACACATACACACCACCACGAAGGGGGAGTGGGGAGGGGGAGCAGCTCACTTAACGACCTGGCAGGCCCAGCTTGCTACTCCCATTGCCCGCCGCCGCTATCCACAAATAGCCGTGGATGGGGTGGGATGTGGGGGTGTATAGGGGTGTGTGTGTATGTGGGGATGTGTGTGTATGTGTGTGTGGGGGTGTGTGTGGTGTGTGTGTATGTGGGGGTGTGTGTGTGTGGGGGTGTGGGGGGTGTATGTGGTGTGTGTGTATGTGTGTGTGGGGGGGGTGTGTGTGTGGGGGTGTGTATGTTGGGGGTGTGTGGGGGTGTGTGGGAGTGTGTGTGTGGGTTTGTGGGGGTGTGTGGGGGTGTGTGTGTGTATGTGGGGTTGTGTGTGTATGTGGGTGTGTATGTTGGTGTGTCTATGTGGGGGTGTGTGTATGTGGGTGTGTATGTTGGTGTGTGTGTATGTGTGTATGAGGGTGTGTGTGTATGTGGGTGTGTGTATGTGGGGGTGTGTGTATGTGGGGGTGTGTGTATGTGGGTGTGTGTGTATGTGGGGGTGTGTGTGTATGTGGGTGTGTGTGTGTGTGGGGGTGTGTGTGTGTGTTGGCGTGTGTGTGTGTGTGGGGATGTGTGTGTATGTGGGGGTGTGTGTATGTGGGGGTGTGTGGGGGTGTGTGTATGTGTGTGTGTGTGGGGGTGTGTGTGTATGTGGGGGTGTGTTGGGGGTGTGTGTAGGTATGTGTATGTGGGGGTGTGTGTGTATGTGGGGGTGTGTGGGGGTGTGTGTGTATGTGGGGGTGTGTTGGGGGTGTGTGTATGTATGTGTATGTGGGGGTGTGTGTGTATGTGGGGGTGTGTGGGGGTGTGGGGGGTGTGTGTGGTGTGTGTGTATGTGTGTGTGGGGGTGTGTGTGTGTTTGGGGGTGTGTATGTTGGGGGTGTGTGGGAGTGTGTGGGAGTGTGTGTGTGGGTGTGTGGGGGTGTGTGTGTATGTGGGTCTGTGTGTCTGGGGGTGTGTATGTTGGGGGTGTGTGGGGGTGTGTGTATGTGGGGGTGTGTGTGTATGTGTGTGTGTGGGTGTGTGGGGGTGTGTGTGTGTGTGGGGGTGTGTATGTTGGGGGTGTGTGGGGGTGTGTGGGGGTGTGTAGGGGTGTGTGTGTGTGGGGGGGTGTGTGTGGGGGTGTGGGGGTGTGTAGGGGTGTGTGTGTATGTGGGGGAGTGAGTGTATGTGTATGTGGGGGTGTGTGTGTGTGTGTATGTTGGGGGTGTGTGGGGGTGTGTGGGAGTGTGTGTGTGGGTATGTGGGGGTGTGTGGGGGTGTGTGTGTGTGCATGTGGGTGTGTGTGTGTATGAGGGTGTGTGTGTATGTGGGGGTGTGTGTGTATGTGGGGGTGTGTGTATGTGTGGGAGTGTGTGTGTGGGTGTGTGGGGGTGTGGGGGGTGTGTGTGGTGTGTGTGTGTATGTGTGTGTGGGGGTGTGTATGTTGGGGGTGTGTGGGGATGTGTGGGAGTGTGTGTGTGGGTGTGTGGGGGTGTGTGTGTGTGTATGTGGGGGTGTGTGTGTATGTGGGTGTGTATGTGGGTGTGTGTGTATGTGGGTGTGTGTGCATGTGGGTGTGTGTGTGTGTATGAGGGTGTGTGTGTATGTGGGTGTGTGTGTGTGGGGGTGTGTGTGTGTGGGGGTGTGTGTGTATGTGGGGGTGTGTGTGTATGTCGAGGTGTGTATGTATGTGGGGGTGTGTGGGGGTGTGTGTATGTGTGTGTGTGTGGGGGTGTGTGTGTATGTGGGTGTGTGTGTGTATGTGGGGGTGGGTGTGTATGTGGAGGTGTGTGGGGGTGTGTGTGGGGGTGTGGGGGTGTGTGGGGGTGTGTATGTGTGCGTGGATGTGTGTATGTGTGTGTGTATGTGGGGGTGTGTGTGTATGTGGGGGTGTGTGTGTGGGGGTATGTGGGGGTGTGTGGGGGTGTGTGTGTGTGTAGGGGTGTGTGTGTGGGGGTGTATGTGTGGGGTGTGTGTGTGTGTGCATGTGGGGGTGTGTGTATGTGGGGTGTGTGGCGGTGTATGTATGTGTATGTGGGGGTGTGTGTGTGTGTGTGTATGTGGGTGTGTGTGTGTGTGTATGTGGGGGTGTGTGTATGTGGGGTGTGTGGCGGTGTATGTATGTGGGGTGTGTGTATGTGGGGGTGTGTGTATGTATGTATGTATGTGGGTGTGTGTGTATGTGGGGGTGTGTGTATGTATGTATGTGGGTGTATGTGTGTGTGTGTATGTGGGTGTGTGTATGTGGGTGTATGTGTGTGTGTGTATGTGGGTCCGTGTATGTGTGTCCGGGTGGCACTGCGAGCCGGCGAGTGCGCGCCGGGCGACGCGGGGCGAGGGAACAGAACGGAACTGAGCACAAAAAATAACCCACAACAGATTTTGCGGAGTCACGGACGATGATGACGATGGTGACGATGATGATGGTGACGATGATGATGACAATGATGATGATGGCGATGATGACGGTGGTGACGATGGTGATGATGACGATGATGATGGTGACGATGATGATAGTAACGATGATGATGACGATGATGACGATGGTGACAATGATGACGATGACGATGGTGACGATGGTGATAGTAACGATGACGATGATGATAGTGACGGTGATGATAGTGACGATGATGACGATGATGACTTCAACTCGTAACTGCGCGCACGCGGTTTTCCGCTCCGGGCTCGTTGCGTGGAGGTGAGGAGGAGCCGGGCAGCAGCAGCAGCGGCCGCCGATGAGCCGGCGGTAACCAACGATTGCCCCAAGCTCTGGCGGTCCCCTACATATGAAGGTGTCGACGGCTCAATTCATGGGGCGTTCAACTTGGGAGAGGGGACCGGAGCGCCCGGAGAAAAAACCGACTCGTGCGAGGGGGAAACACTCGATTCCGTTTTCACATTGTCACGCAGTGTAATTGTCCATCAATCTAGGACCACCCCCATATCTTTGACGATATAAACATCTGGCAGGCCACCAGCGTTGGCTGGGGCAGGACTGCTGATGAGACACTGGGTGTCGAAACCAGTCCTTGCCTTTATAAACATCTGGT